AATAAATCTTTTTTAAAAAAAGGAAATCCATCAATGACTAAAAGTGAGCATGACTGGGGATGTCAAGCTAATGCCAGAAGCCCTTACCATCTCACCCTACCCTCCAGCTCTCCCACTTTACCAGCTTGTTTTCCAGTTCAAAATTCCTAGGGCTGGACTTCCCTGGTGTTGCAGTGGTTAAGAATCCGCCTGCCAATGCAGGGGGCACAGGTTTGAGCCCTGGTCCAGGAAGATCCCATATGCCGTGGAGCAACTAAGCCTATGTGCCACAGCTACTGAGCCTGTGCTTTGGAGCCCACGAGCCACAACTGCTGAGCCCGTGTGCCACAACTACTGAAGCCCGTGCACCTAGAGCCCATGCTCCACAACAAGAGAAGCCACAGCAATGAGAAGCCTGCTTGCCGCAACTAGAGGAAGCCCGTGCACAGCAACGAAGACCCAACACAGCCAAAAATAAATAAATACATAAATTTCTTTAAAAAAATTCCTAGGGATTAGCTGACCTAAAACTTCATAATTCAGCTTGAATAAGAAAAGTTATTAGTGACCTACTTATATTCTAGTGCAAAGTCAAAATGCTTCTACTAAAACTTCTTGTTGACTCCAGGGACTATAATTTCTCTCTCTCTTCCAAAGTGCCTGATATACAACTCAGTAAATTATCTTGAATGAATTTTGTATTTAGGTGAAATGTAACACCGTATTACCCAACAGTCATTTTTCTGAGAGTCACAACTATCCCTACAATCAGCCAAAAGCCAGAAAGAAAAAGTCTCAGAATATCCAAAATAAAGGTCAAAGCCTATGTATGAAAGATTTCCTCATAGGGAAGTACCTCAAGCCCTCACATAGTCTTTTTTTAATAATTATTTCTTAAATTAATTAATTAAGCTGCAAAAAGAGACAGCTGACGCACTAAGGGAAAAAAGGGGCCCAGCAGCACGTACTGGGGCTATTAGCCCTAAATTTTTACATATATAGAAAGCGCATGTATGTGGAATCTCTTTCTTTTTTTGTTTTGTTTCGGTTTCGGGGGGTGGTGGTTTTTTGTTTGTTTTTGGCCGCACTGCATGGCTTGCAGGATCTTAGTTTCCCAACCAGGGACTGAACGTGGGCCCTCGGCAGTGAAAGCACGGAGTCCTAAACACTGGATCGCCAGGGAATTCCCTGCAATCTCATTCTTTAAAAATATAGGATAAATGGGACTTTAGCGTAAAGGCAGCCTTTGATTTATACATATACTGTGTTACTCAAGTTTGCAAAATAAATCACTTAGCATTTTCTCAGCAATATTACCTTCCAAGACCACTCACAAAGTATGCCTTTAACCTGTTACTATGTTAGCAAACAGGTCAAAGCACCTGTGCAGTGTAAGTAACACTGCACCACACTTACCACTATACTTCGATTAGTTGGATGAAAGGGTTGAATGCCTACTAAGAGCGAGGTCCTGTAGGTATTTTACATATATTCTCTCTTATGGATGATGATCAAGCAGTGACTGTCTTCCCCATGCCTAGGGCCAACATCACCCAACTAGTACAGCAAGTGAAGGATAAGAGATATGATCCTAGGTCCATCCACAAAACTTCACTTTGCAGTAATGGGAGTAGCCCCCAGGAAGACATGGGCCCGGTGGCTGATGACAGGATATTCAGTGGAGAGACAGTAAGCAATTACTAGTGTGAGCAAAGGCTAGGAATAAGGATCAGGCAATTGGAGGGAATGAGGGGATGAAGCTGAAAAGCAGGGTCAGGGTCAAGGATTGGAACTGAGTGAAAAGACAGGTGTGTAAAATAACAGCTAAGGGAGTGAAAATTAGAGGAAGGATTCTGGAAGAGCTGGCAGGACGGGCTTTTCATCTCTTTTCTTCCTCAAATCCTCCCTTATTACCAATGCTACACGCCACCGCCACCACCACCACAGACCACACTGCCAAGCCTTCACCAGTGCTAACAGACCCCAGTTTAGAAGGTCAGCAGGATGCAAGATAAGCTTTGCCTTCTCCTCCCACTGCTCCTTACCACTGGCTCCTCCCAACCCTGCCTTCCATGAGGCTGGTGCCAAACAAGAATCAGGGAGCAGAGCCTTGGGGAGAAGAGGGGCTGGGTGACAGAATGCATTCCTGGTGGCAGGATCACCTGTAATAAGTGGAAGATCCTGGTCTGCCCAAACCTGTCAGGGAGGTGGTCAGCCAAGGTGGTGGCCCACCAGCAGAATGCCGTCTGATAGATGGGCATGCCCAAGACAGTCAGTTACATGAGAGTCTGACAGCACTGCACTTCAACTTCAAAATAATTTATGACAGGGGCTTCCCTGGTGGTGCAGTGGTTGAGAGTCCGCCTGCCAATGCAGGGGACACGGGTTCGTGCCCCGGTCCGGGAAGATCCCATGTGCCGCGGAGTGGCTTGGCCCGTGAGCCATGGCCGCTGAGCCTGCGCGTCCGGAGCCTGTGCTCCGCAACGGGAGAGGCGACAACAGTGAGAGGCCCGCGTACCGCAAAAAAATAATAATAATAATAATTTATGACAAACTTCACTGCTTTATCCTATTTAGAACTTTACACTTGCACTGTAACTGTTCTAGAAATTTCCCTGTCTCGGGTACTACATTTTCCTAAAACTTAAAATGACTAGCCAGCCAGCTGATTGTCCAGATAAAAGAACATCTGTAGCCACTTAACGCTCTAAAGAGCATACAAACTTCACAAAGGTACCCAAAAATCTATAGAAACCATCCATCAATGGCTTCTTTTAGCTGTTTATATATTTAAGACTATATTTTAACATCTGTTTTAAAAGCCTAAATATATTTTCCCTCTATTATTTAGAAAATGCTGCCTGACACACATCCCAGTTGCCTCCACCACACACAACCTTTTCAGCAATTTTTAAAAATAGCTTTTATTGCCTTGCACCCCTGACAGATCAAGATATGTATTTCTTAAGGAAAAAAACTAAACTTCTATCAAGAAGAAAGCCATGCTGAAGCATTGGAGACACAATTATTGATGGTGCCTTTCCAGGAGAGAAGATGAAAAATGGATTTAATTCATTTCTTATACCTAGTTTACCTTCAAAGTAGTATATTCCTTCACTTCTGAATCATTTATCAAACCAATAGTGTTCCGCAAGTGACTGATACTTCACCTGCTAAGTTGCTTTTGACATTCTACTCAAAATAAAATACAGTGTATGTTACTACATGTGTTTAGATTTTTGTACCATCTGTACATTCCTCTCAAAACTGAACCCCAGAACAGTGGGTTTTCTTCTCCCTGTCCTCCTTCCTCAAATCCTCTCTGTAGACTAAAACAGAAGGACTTGTATTTCAAAGACCTTTAAAATTGAAGGTCTTATATTTTTAGAGGAAGACAGCTGAGTAGATTTTAAATTATAACTAATTTAGATGTACTGAAAAATTAATTACACCAAGTTAACAATATCATGTATGGAAGAAAGGGGGGAACAATTCACCCTAATCATTTTAAACTTAAGCTGGAAATAAAGCATTTGTAAACTGTTATCAAGTATACAAGGTAACAAAACACCAAGTACAGTTTCCAAAAAGCAGACCCAGCACTCAATCATCCTTTAAAATTTGTCAAAGAAACAAAACAGTTCGTTAATTCCCCTCTCAATAAGGAAAAAATATTACTTCCAATAGGATTCCTTTCAATAGCAAACTTTCTTCAGAGTGCAGATTTGGAAAATTAATTGCTTACAATTAACAACGAATTAGTTGGATACAAAAGTCTTTTAATTGCAGCAAGTTTCATTAAATCTAAGATGCCAGTGATTATCAAGTGCAACATTATCTCATGTAACATTGGGGGGGAAAAACAATGCCAGTTAAGCTATGGTATAATGCTTACTTATGGCATCCTGTCCTCAAGATTAAAATGTGAACAAAATGTGGTTTAGAATCAAGGAAATACTGGAACCTTAAACATATCATTCAAGTATGTTAGAATATCACAAGGAAAATTATGTACAGATAAAATAATCTTAGATACTAAGACAGTAATCTATCTATATTACAATAAAATGTCAGTACTCCAACACAATTCCTAATCTGAGCAGTCAGAAAGATAAATCAAAGCTTTTAGTAAATAGATGTATAATTAATCAAATGAAAGGCACCTCCCAAAATTGGAATCTGGAGATTAAAAGCCACTGTTCAGTAATGACAATGATGAAAACAACTGTAAGAACAATAGTTCACTCAGAAACAGCTGGTCTTTTAGCATGAGTTCACCTCATACTTAGACAAAAGGTGTGGTGTGGTGTTACATTCCATCCCACCTGCTACACTAACAAAATTTGGCTCTACCAGACAACATCCATATTTGAGAAATGTTAAGTACAGTCAAAGAGAACTCATATGCTTAAAACTGACAAACAGGAAAAGTATTTGTTTACAACAAATTTATATTAAAAAAATAAAAGTTGAAGACTAACATGGAATCAATACCTTCGGTTTTTCTTTTCCCTTTCCAAGGAGAAACTGAGGCAGATTCAAGATTCTGTCAGCACTACAGCAAACTTTGTCATTTCTCACTGTACACAAGCTATTTTTAAGTCTTACCCACGCTAAAGAACTCCAATTCAACATAATTCATGCTAAATACTTTAAATACTAAACATTTACATGCATTTTGTATCCAACTGATTTTTTTTAAATAACTTCAACTACTTGTGATATAGCCTTACGACAAAGTCTCTTTTGAGAGCACTGACCCCTAAGCTTAGGAAAACACCCCACTCTAAGATGCTTTTCTTCCAAATCTTATCTCTTTCAGAATTTTGCTAGACACCTCAAATAGGAAGAATACAGCTTGCCAGTATCCCCAGCTAACTATACCATGTTTTGACACAACTTTTAGGAGAGAAAAAGCAAATCAAGAAAACATGCTGACTTCAGGACTCTTTAAAAAGTCCTGGTTCATTTACTTAGCAAAACGCAAGAGCCCGAACAGGTCCTCAACGAGTTAGTCTTACCTGGCAGGTCACCAAGCTGACAGTGGTGGTGAGGCCAGTCTTCCCAAGTTTTCTGGGATTTCCAGAAGGGACTAAAGTAATAGTAGGAGGCCTTCCCTTGGTTTAGGGGCTTTTCTCTAAAATTCTCTCTCCTCTCCCCACCTGGTCTTTTTCCCCCTCCGCTAATCCTTTAGCTTATCAACCTCACCACCAAAATCACAACACTGAATGCACTCTCCAGAAAACGGTGAGGCACCTAGCCCACCTTTTTTAAATTATCTAAGGCACAACAGCCCCTACAAGGATAACAAATCATCAGTGATGTCTAAGGCACAGCATTCTCTTCAACCTCTAAAGAAAGATCCTAATGTATGTAATATCTTCTACCTACTACAACTGAAAAGTGTATGAACATATTTCGGAAATATTTCTGCTTCAGTTCTTGAAGGTGAAGAGTTTCTTACTTCAATTCATTAAAATTAACCAGAACCCAACCATACTACTTAGTACTCAAGATTTCACTGCGCCTTTACCTAAAAATTTTCCTCCAAACTAAATATTTAGGATTTGAGTCCTATTCAGAAATTAGCTTCCACAGTACCCTCCACGATGCCAGAATGCACACTGACTTAATAACAAACGACCTTTTTTGGAAGAGAAGAAAAACTAACCTTCGACCCCCTTTAACTCACTGCCTAAGGTTAGTATTTAAGTATAAATCTGCGTGTCCTCCAAACAAGGGGAGGAGGGCAGAACGCTGTTCTTACCACTGCATCCCCCACAGCTCCTAGCACGAAGCCTGGAAGCAGAGGCCATTCAATAATAGCCTATAAACACTGTAGTCCTCTGATAAGTTGGGGCATTCCAAAACACTGGCTCCACCCCTCCAAGGGTCAGCCTCCAGTTCCCGATTCCAGACCGCCTCGGCCTTGCTCTGGTGTAAATGAAACCTCGTCGCTCAAACAGACACAGGATGGGGGCAAGAGAGCCACCCGACCCCATCCCGCAGATCCTCTATTCACCCCGCCAGGCTGTTGGTCCCAAGCCTTCCCCACCCGATCCCAGTAACCAACGTCGCCGGCCCGCAGATCCGAGGGGGCAAGAGCCCCGCCCCACCGGCTGGACCGACAGCCTGGCGTCAGGACACGGGGGACGCCTGCGCAGAAGAACACGCCTTCCACCCGCCTGGCCCCTCCGTTCCGAGGGTAACAATACCACCTCAGAAAGACTGACAAGGTAGGCGGGGGTGGGGGGATGGAGGGGAACCGGTACGCGTCTGCGCGCGCCCCGACGCCTGGACTAGACCCTGCTCGCGCCGCCCATCCAGCTCCCCCAGAGCCCAACTGTCTCCACGTGAGCGCGCCCGCGCGCGCCACCACGCCTCGCGCTGACAGGGTTGCCTCACCTGAGCCGGACTCCGCCCCCCTTCTCGCTGGAGGAGGCGGTGACCCTTCTCCGATCGGACCCGACAGTGTCGGAGGAGGCGGGAACGTCCAGGCTGGCGCCCCAGTGATGGGATTTCCTCCCCCTTCCGCCCACCCCGCCTCTCGTCCTCCGGCTGCTTCAGCCCGTTCGCCGCCGCACTCTGAGAATACCACGGCAGCTGCCCACAGTAAACGGAAGTGACGCAACACGAGATCGCCTACTCCGCGGCTTTTCTCCTCCCCTCCGGCCGCGCTACAGCCAATCAGAAGCGGAAGCGGCGGGGCCAGGGTGGATGTGCCGCCAGCCAGCGCGCGGAATCCGGCGGAATTTATTCGGCCCCGGGAACACTGACCAATCCGCGGTCCCAGGAGCCTCGCTGTGTTTACTACCGAGCGAATCCGTGAGCCCTGCAGCCAATCACCGTATGCCTTACAACACGTAAAACTGTTATCAAACGCCTTTTAAAGCGGGATTTATCACTAAGCGACTCTAGGATTGGACTACAGAAAAGCGACTGTGTGCCGAAGCCAATCCAGACCCGCTGTGGTGGAGACCAGCGGGTTTTCCGCCTCATTCCACCAGTCACAACTACGACTGCCTGAGGTCTGAGCTAGGTGAGAGGCGAGCCCGCGAGGTAGTGTCCCACCGCTGGCTGGACCTGAAGGATTTCCCCACCCTCACGGTGCCCAGCTCCCTCTTCGGTGACACCGGGCTCCCTCTCCAACGCGAATTCCCTTCGCGGGACCTCGTAGGCTTTGGAAAAAAATAAAATTCCAAGACGCTGTTTAGGTTGAATTAAGCCAAAATCCAGGCTAAAGACGCTGAACCGAAAATGCCATCCATGTGACGGCAGTTGGGTCCGACACCGCGCCACGTCCAGTCCCGGTGGCGGCGTCTCCAAGAGCTGGGGACTGAGAAGTCTGGCACTTCGCTCCGCATTCCGTGCCGCAGGTCAAATAAGCCTGCAGTCTCCAGAACCAGTCTTCCAATGAACAGAATGGGAAACGTGGAAGAGTTGCGGACTTCGGTGGGACAATGTCAGAAAAGAGCAAGGTCCGTGCGGCTTCCGGGCTCCCAGGTGCACGCTCGGACGGAGAGCCCGAACCCTTAGGTACACCGGCCCCGGCGCCTCCGACGGCAGAAAGAAGCCCACCTTCCCCATGTGAAGAGGAGACAAGGAAGTCCGTAAGGGGCCTTCCGCGGCGGGAGGTGTCGGGAGCTCGGCGTGGCTCCGGAGACAAAGGCAGGCTGGGGAACGCAGTTCGGTTGTTTTTTTGGGGGGTGGGTTGGGGAGGAAGACTATTTTTAAAAGGGAACACCCCACTTCTTCAGAACTCAACACCCAGTTATCATTAGAGCTGATCCATCCCTTCAGACCATACACGTTGGAAATGTTGTCCTTGCAATATTGGGGTTGGGGTTTTTTTCTTTACGGCCTCAACGAAGTCTGATGGTAAATTGTGTTCATTAAGATTCCCAGACATTTTATTGCCCTTGCATGTATTTTACTGTCAGATTGGGCTGCTTTAAAAAAAAAAAAAGAATGCTGACAGTAAGCCAGGCAACGTGAGAGGTCCTATAACATATGTGACCCTTACAGACATACTGTGAACTAGATGTTATCTCATATATACAGAGTGGCAAAAATTAAAAAGATTTGTGCGTTTAGTACTTAGGAGAGCGTGTGAAAAAAGTCCCATCCTGTATCGTTGTTGGGAGTATCACTGCTGTTCTCTGAAGATAACTTGGTATCTTCAAATTTTTAAATTATGCATCCATTACCTTCTCTCTGGCAATTCCTTTCTAGAAATTCTACTTAAATAAACAAATGTGGAAAAGTATGCACGAGACTTTGATCAAGCTTTATTAGTGGAAGAAAAAAACAATGCGAATGTGCATCCATAGAGGATTACAATACATTGATATACACTGAGTATCTATTATGGCTCCTTTATTACTAATGATCCCATATACATACAAAACAAAACCAGAAAAACCCTGCGTGTGGATGTACACATAAAAGCTTGTAAATGTATGGCTAAGTATGAAAGGATACTATCAAACTGTTTGTAAAAATTGCCTCAGTGAAGGGAAGTTAGGAGGCGGTGATGATAAGGAAATATTTTAAGAGGACCTTCTTAATTTTTAGCCTTTACATACTTATGTATTAATTTAATTTTTATAATGACCTTTATTATTTTAGTAGTATATATGAAAACCAGGATTTTTTTTTTTTTTCGGTACGCGGGCCTCTCACTGTTGTGGCCTCTCCTGTTGCGGAGCACAGGCTCTGGACGCGCAGGCTCAGCGGCCATGGCTCATGGGCCCAGCCGCTCGCGGCATGTGGGATCTTTCCGGACCGGGGCACGAACCTGCGTCCCCTGCATCGGCAGGCGGACTCTCAACCACTGCGCCACCAGGGAAGCCTGAAAACCAGGATTTTTAGGTTGAGTTTTCAACTCATTGACAAAATTATTCCTAAATTAAGCTATAAATTTCCCAATAAAAGTATCACTAAGGTACTTTTGTCTTGCACTGTTGGTGGGAATGTAAATTGATACAGCCACTATGGAGAACAGTATGGAGGTTCCTTAAAAAACTAAAAATAGAACTACCATACAACCCAGCAATCCCACTACTGGGCATATACCCTGAGAAAACCATAATTCAAAAAGAGTCATGTGTCACAATGTTCATTGAAGCTCTGTTTAAAATAGCCAGGACATGGAAGCAACCTAAGTGTCCATCGACAGATGAATGGATAAAGAAGATGTGACATATATACAATGAAATAGTACTCAGCCACAAAAAGAAACAAAATTGAGTTATTTGTAGTGAGGTGGATGGACCTAGAGACTGTCATTCAGAATGAAGTAAGTCAGAAAGAGAAAAACAAATACCGTATGCTTAACACATATATATGGAATCTAAAAAAAAAAAAAAGGTTCTGAAGAGCCTAGGGGCAGGACAGGAATAAAGACACAGATGTAGAGAATGGATTTGAGGACACGGGGAGGGGGAAGGGTAAGCTGGGATGAAGTGAGAGAGTGGCATGGACTACTAAATGTAAAATAGATAGTGGGAAGCAGCCGCATGGCGCGGGGAGATCAGCTCAGTACTTTGTGACCACCTAGAGGGGTGGGATAGGGAGGGTGGGAGGGAAACGCAAGAGGGAGGAGATATGGGGATATATGTATATGTATAGCTGATTCACTTTGTTATAAAGCAGAAACTAACACCATTGTAAAGCAATTATACTCCAATAAAGATGGTAAAAAAAAAATAGAAACTAACATACAAACCTAATAGTCAAAAACCAGAATGAATAGAACCATCTCACTTCTCTTAAGCATAATCTTTCCCTAATTTGAGGGGAAATGACAAATAAAGATCACCCTATAGCTAATACAAAATCAAAGCAACAATAACAACAAAAAAAGATACTTTTGGAAACTAGACACTGATTCTAAATTCATAAGAGAGGATAATATTGCAAGAATAGCCAGGAAAAATGAAAGCCAGACAATGACACTACAAGAAAACTACAGATCCATATCCCTTATGAACATTAATGCAAAAACTCACAATAAAATATTAGCAAACTAAATTTAGCAGCATATCAAATGGGTTATACACCATGGCCAAGTCAGATTTACTCCTGGAATGCAAGGATAGTTCAATATGTGAAAATTGATCAGTGTAATACATCACATGATCATCTCAAATGATGCACACAAAGCGTTCAACGGAATTCAACACCCTTTTAAAAACACTCAACAAACTAGGAATAGAAGGAAACTACTTCAGCATAATAAAAACCATATATGATAACCCACAGCAAACATACACATTGGTGAAAGACTTTAAGCCTTTCCTCTAAGATCAGGAAAAAGACACAGATGCCTACTTTCACAACTTCTATTCAACATAATGCTAGAATGTCTAGATAGAGCAATTAGGCAGAAAAAGAAACAAAAGACATCCAACTTGGAAAGGAAGAGGTAATATTATCTCTGCACATGATATATTCTTATATGTAGAGAATCCTAAAGATTACACACACACAACTGTTAGAGCTAATAAATTCAGCAAAGTACCAAGTTATAAAGTCAACATACAAAAATTAGTTGCATTTTTATACATTAACAATGAACAATCTCAAAAGGAAATTATGAAAATGACATTTACAATAGCATCTAAAAGAATAATATACTTAGGAATTAACCAAAAGTAAAAGACTGGTACAAAGAAAATTACAAAATGTTACTGAAAGAAGAATTAATGGAAACACTTTCGATGTTCATAGATTGGAAGACTTA